AGGTAGAAAGAACTCGAAAACGAGAGGCTACTAAAAGCAATTTAAACTACTGAATTTGAAGAATGAGATGGAATTTTTAATTTTCATTTCATTGAATTTTCATGAATTCTGCCCACTGTGCTAGTGTTGAGATTCGGCAAATTGTCATCCTCGTCATTGCTATCATGGTCACCACCAGCACCGCTCGTAACTGTTCGCAACATGTGCAGTAAAGCGTCTGCTGCACCGCGAATTGTTACCAGTAGTCCCCGTGCTCTGCTAATCCGGGGATCCGTACGAGTATTTGGGTCGGCTTCTGCTGAATCGCTTTTGAGTGCTGCGTTCAGTTCACCAGCATGCAGATCTTCTGCTAAAAACAACGGTTCCGAATTCAGCGCCTCCTCTTGACTTGTTTCTAGAGACGAATTGAGTAGATCTGGATCAGAATCATCAACCGTTGCGCTGAGTTCCATCATTCCTGTTGCGCTCAGGTTTGTTGAAAGCAGACATTCAGCTGTACTGGAATTTAAAGACCCAGCGCACAAATTTCTCACATTTTCTTTCGTTACATTGCCAAAGGTCGAATCCTCATCTTCAGAATAAGCAACATGTCCTGTTTTGTTTGTCGAATTAACTAGAAGGAGTTCCGATAGGTCCATATCAGCTGTATTGCTCTGGTTCAGAAACATTGCTGTTGTGCTGTGTGGCTGATCCATAGGGCGCACCAAGTCCGGGAACATCTGTGCGGAAAGCGAAACGATAGAAGGAGGAGGCGGTGTTGTCGTTGGCGTTGCAGCGCCAGCTGAAAAAGTTTAAAGATAGTCGTTAAGGCCTTTATTGCACTTCAAGCTCACCCAGAAATAACAACCCCGCCGTCCTGCGCCGGTCTAGAAAAAGCTTTTCAGATGTCGCCAAAAAATGTTGTTAATCTGAAATTGGACAACTGAAATTCGACCCGCACTTTTTCGAACATTTATGCAAAAGTTCAACTTTTTCATGATTATGGAGCTAGTACATCTTGACGCCTAGCAAATTCAAAAGCATGATGGTCTGAAATCTGCTATACTCGTGCTTGGGCAGTGTGATATTTGAAACGCATCTTAAAACTATAAGGCTTCAATCACCTTCTTGTTAGCAAATTCAGTAGGTAAGGACATTACTGAGGCCAACGAGTGGCAGTGCTTAGGACACAATAAGAACATCTAAAGCGGCTAAAGTTCTACCAAAAAAATTTTTAACTATCAATTC